GCGGGGGGGTCTGGGGGGTGGTCTCGGATCACGGGAGAAGCAGTGGGGGGACTCTTCCCCCCCAAATGGGAGAAAAAGGGAAAAGAAAAGCAGTTCACCCCCACAGGACTCACTGTTGTCTCAGATGACGGTGTCTCTGGGCTCCTTCCCTCTCTCCCAGTGAGCACAGACTTCTCCGATGAAAAAAAACAGTAGGTCCCAGCTGGAGTCATGAGGCAGTGGCAGCACAGGGTCGGTGGTCAGGTTTCGCCAGGATGAAGAAACCAGAAAGACTGGTTCCCAGGCTTTTCCTCCAGAAAACGCCTGGACACAGTCCCTGTCTCCGTCCCAGAGAGAGAACTCTGTAGTCTGCCCTTCTCCCCTCTCAGGAGTGCCCGCAACCCCCCAGCCTCTGAATGGGTCATTAGCCAGGAATTTGGCCAGATCTTTTGTAAAACTAATTGACTCCCTTCCCCCACTCACTCCGTTTTCCTTCGGGGGGGGGGGGGCAGGGGGAAGAAAAATTCTCCTGGATTTTCAAACCTATAACATTATCCACCCCTAATTTTTCTTTCCCATGCTACCACACTTTATCAGATTAAGTCTTTGAACTTCATACGTACATGCATTATTCTATGTACACATCCGCTAATAGGTAGATGCAAATACAGATACAGACACAGAGTTACATACAGATGCAGATATAGAGTTACAGCCAGTTCACCCGAAAATAAGGTCCCCTTGAGGTATACACCAGGTTTCTCCATCTTCCTGCATCACCCACCAGGTGCAACCGGGTCCTTGGGCAAAAACAATCCCACGAATGGGTTTGCTTTTGCTCGAGGCAGGGCTAATCCAAACCTTTTTCCCTAACATACCCCTCATGTGAATCACTGGGACCTTGTCTCCATCCACGGTGTGGAGGGACTCTGATTGGGCAGGGCCGGCTCGGTTGATGGAGCCTCTGGTGTTGACTAACCATGTAGCCTTTGCTAGATGCTGATCCCAGTGCTTGCATGTCCCTCCACCCAAGGCCTTCAGGGTAGTTTTCAACAGTCCATTATGCCGTTCAACTTTCCCCGCAGCTGCTGCATGGTATGGGATGTGGTACACCCACTTGATGCCATGCACCTTCGCCCAGGTGGTAACTAAGCTGTTCCTGAAATGAGTCCCATTATCTGACTCGATGCGCTCTGGGGTGCCATGTCGCCACAGGACCTGCTTTTCGGGCAGTGGCGTGGGGGACCGGATGCGTCTCCAGTCATCCAGTGGTGGCTTCCACCATGGTGAGCACATAGCGCTTACCTTGGCAGGTTCATGGCAGTGTGATGTAATCAACTTGCCAGGCCTCCCCATATCTATACTTACTCCAACGTCCACCATACCATAGGGGCTTCAGTCTCTTAGCCTGTTTAATGGCAGCGCAGGTCTCACAGTCATGGATAATCTGGGAAATAATGTCCTTGGTTAAGTCCACCCCTCAGTCTCGTGCCCATCTATGGGTGGCATCTCTGCCTTGATGGTCTGAGGCATCATGGGCCCACCGTGCTAGGAACAACTCTCCTTTGTGCTGCCAGTCCAGATCCACCTGTGACACCTTGACTTGTGCAGCTCGGTCTGCCTGTTCATTGTTGCGATGCTCTTCATTGGCTTGGCCTTTGCGCACATGAGCATCCACGTGGCAGACTCTCACAATCAACTTCTCTGCCCGGGTAGCAATGTCTTGCCACATATCAGCGGCCCAGATGGGTTTCCCCCTGCGTTTCCAATTAGCCTTCTTCCATCTGTCCAACCATCCCCACAGAGCATTGGTTACCATCCACGAGTCAGTGTAGATGTAAAGCTTTGGCCACTTCTCCCATTCAGCAATGTCCAACGCCAACTGGACGGCTTTGAGCTTTGCGAATTGGTTCAATTCACCTTCCCCTTCAGTAGCTTCTGAAACTTGTTGGGTGGGGCTCCATACAGCTGCTTTCCATTTACGTTTCATTCCTACAATGCGAGAGGAACCGTCAGTGAAAAGGGCATAGCGTTTTTCTTCTTTTGGTAGTTTATCATATGCTGGGGCTTCCTCAGCCCGTACCACCTGCTCTTCTTCTTCTTCATCCACTAGACCAAAACTCTCACCTTCCGGCCAGTTTGTGATGACTTCTAGGATCCCAGGGCGATTCAGATTTCCAATACGGGTGTGCTGCGTGAGCAGAGCGATCCACTTACTCCATGTAGCATCAGTGGCATGATGCGTAGAGGGTGCCTTTCCCTTGAACATCCAGTTTAGCACTGGTAGTCGAGGTGCCAGGAGGAGCTGTTCTTCTGTGCCAGTCACCTCTGAGGCAGCTTGTACTCCTTCATAAGCTGCTAGGATCTCCTTCTCTGTTGGGGTGTAGTTGGCTTCAGATCCTCTGTAGCTTCGGCTCCAGAACCCAAGTGGGCGGCCTCGGGTCTCGCCAGGCACCTTTTGCCAGAGGCTCCAGGAGAGACCTTTATTCCCAGCTGCAGAATAGAGTACATTTTTCACATCTGTTCCCGTCCTGACTGGCCCGAGGGCTACAGCGTTGCCAGGGTGACCGGCCAGTGGCGCCTTCCGCGCGCCGAGCCCCGCCCCCCCCCCTCCGGCCAATCGGAGGTGTGGTGGCAACGGAGTGAGGTTCTCTTTGTTCAGCCATTTCAGAAACTGTAGCGGGTTTAGGCACTGAGCTACGGAGGGAGAGGACAGGCTGCTTCGCTCCCTCGCCACTTCTCTGCCGTCGGGGTTTGGGATGGTGTGGGTAGGTGTTCGGGCTGCGAGGGGAGGGCTGGGACGTCCCATCTCCGGCAGCCGCTGCCTGGCTGCCTGCATGCCTGCGGGCCGGGGCTGGGGCCGGGGCCGAAGCCGGGGCCGGGGCCGGATGGGCAGCCGAGCAGCCAACCAGCCAGCCGCGGGCCCGGCTGCCTTTATGGGTTTTCGCGCCGCCGCTGGGAGGGGAGCCATGCGGGCCCGGCCGTGGGCTGCCTCCTTTCTTCCCGCTGTCGTTCGCGGTCTCTGCCGCCTCGTGCCGATGGATGGATGGATGGATGGATGGATGGATGGATGGATGGATGGATGGGGGAGGCGCAGCATACGGGGCGTCCGGGGTATGAGTCGCGGTCGGAGGAGCGGGCACCCGCCCACCTCTCCAGCTCCCTCGGCCCCTCCCAGTGTTACAGCTGGTGCCGTCCCCGCAGCCTTGCCGCAAACTCTGCCATTGCACCGAGCCGGAAAGTGAGTCCCCTGGGGAATATAAGAAAGTGGCCATATTTCCTGCCTTTCTTTCTGGGGTGTCCAGATCTGGCTAGGTGGGTTTTAATTTTTTTTTTCTAAGGAATATTCGAAAGGAGTGAAATTCCGTGTTTGTCTTGTACTTTTGTTTGTTTGCTTCCTTGGGGAGCTCGTTAATTTAGGTGCTCAATGGAACTAGCTGATGAAACTCATAAAGCCTTTGTGGAGTGACTGTACAAAGGGCACAAACGCCTTTTTGGGTTGATATAAATGGTTTGCTCAGTCTTCAAGCTCTTTATCTCCTTGCTGTAAAGGTAACAATTCCGGTCCCTTGAATTTATGCTCAGGACCCAAGAGATCCTCCTACTGTGAGGCTTGTTCTGCTATGCACTCTGGCCACCACAGGTTCATAATTTGTTTGCTTGCCTTCTTGGCTTTTTAAGTAGTCCTTAATGTGGTATTTGAATACTTCACAGGTATTGTTCAATCCTTATAACACTGAACAAAAAGTTAACTTGTGTCCCTTCAGTATGTGAGTAATTAAACAGAAAAAATAATTGCATGCCCAAGATCATACAAGGAGCCTTCGGTAGAATTGGAAACTGAGCCTATGTTTCTAATCAAGAGTCTCATCTATGTTTAAAAATAAGTTTATGGTCTGTTTCTAAAACTCCTCGCTTTGCATCTGCTGTGCGAACTGTAGTTATTTTTGAGTTATATGTGAGAGAATGGAGGAAAGCTGCTCACAATTGGGAAGAATAGTTTCTATATGATCAGTATTACTTTAGAATGTATTTCCTCAAAATTCTTCTTGTGGAAGACCGAGCACTGGAACAGATTGCCCAGAGAAGTTGTGCAGTCTCCCTCACTGGAGATGTTCAAGAACCGTTTGTACACGATCGTGTGCAATGTGCTCTAGGATGGCCCTGCTTGACCAGGGAGGTTGGACCAGATGACCCACTGTGGTCCCTTCCAACCTTACTCATGCTGTGATTCTGTGAAAATATCTAGTTAGCTTATACTCTAGGCAATATAATGCAAAGGGTAATTATGATCCTGCAAAAACAGGATTAAAAAGCAGTTTACTCTCTGTCTTAAAGGAGGAAGGCTCTGATTAGAATTAATATTGACTAAGGACCATTTTTGCCATTGGATATAGGCAGTGACACAGACTTCAGTGACTTCCAAAATTGATATCGATGTAAGCACAGCTGCTAAATTGACCTAAGCATGCCTTGTGGCAGGAAGGTGAAAATAACATTATTAATGGGTTTATGAATGTAGACTTTTATTGGATTATCTAACATATGTTTTTCTAGTGTATTTATTTAGATTCCAGTTTAGGAGTCCTTGTACGCAGATATTCAAGAGAACAGATATATGTGTTTAATTTTAGGTTCATGGTGTAAATTGGAGCAACCCCAGGGACTGAGTTACCCTATAATCAGGTGATAGGTACACACAGAGCTGTCCAGCAGACTGTCAGAGTTTATTCAATCAAGTTTCCTTCCTACTCCTGCTTTGGGCACAAAGGAAAGTGGCAGAAGGCCAAGTATAATCCTCCTTCATCAAAGCTGATATTCAGAATCTGTACAGTTTAAAGATCAGGGCTGAAAATCAATACTGAGATTTTATTTTTGAAATGTTTCATTGATAAAGATCTTTTGTAGACTCAGTGTTGTCACTGTCATAGAAAAATACGGACCACAGGTTTGTGAAACTTATGCACTCATCAATGCATTATTGTCAATAGAATTGTGTCAGTGATATGCAACAGGGGGAGGATTTTAATTTGCTTTGTTTTTGAAAGGGCTAGGACTATTTTTACCATTATTTTCATGTGTTAATTATGTTGTAACTTTGATTAGTTTTGACCACAGAAATTAATTTTACCAGTTAATTCAGTTCCAGATTCTATGAACATTTAAATACCTGTAACAGTAGTATGTTTTGGTCACCTATTCTACTTCTTTAAACTATTTTATGGTATTGATTTGGATAGGTTTTCTACATATTTTGATAGATTACATATCTGTATGATGGTTAAAAAATGAATATGTATTTATATCTATATGTATAATATGCAGAAGCCATAGGGGCCCAAGATCAGGGCCATAGCTCATATTGAAATTTTATCTTTAAAATATTTCATTGGTAGATATATACTTGTATAGACCCAGTGTTGTTTGGTTTATGTATGTGATCTATCATATACATGATAAATCAGTGTACATAATATGTTTATGCATGGACACATGGAGGCCATGGAACATGACATTTTTTAATGATATAGAAATGAATTTCCAAACATCACTTTTAGCCTCCAGAAGGTTTCCCTTTCCAAACCAGATTCCAGAGTGTAACTTAATCAATTAAAAAGATCACTGTTAATTTCCTGTGTACTGAATGCTTTTGAAATTTTGAGTTTCTGTATATATTTTTTAATTAGTCAAACAAAATTCATGTGTAAAGAAAACTTGTGGGTTTTGACCCTTGAGTATAGGATATAAAGTTACTGTTAAATTATTCCCCTATTAAATAATTTAATTTTATATAACATTTTCTACAAGCCATTGTGAAATCCCTTAAACATTCAAAATATGCTGCTTATGAAGAAGTTGCCATTAAGGGCATTGATTTAAATAATTGATCAATGCTAAATATAAAGGCAGAGGAAAAGGCAAGATAAAATGTTTTTTGGAGAATAGGAAATAGATAGTAGGTGAGTAGGTACAAAGATAGAAGAAAACTGTTACTCTGTTAGAACCTGAAAAGGAAATACTTGCAAAAATTATGGTGAAGTAGCACAGACCAGGGGCTTCCAAGCCTATTTAGTAGGTATATGATCATCATTAGTAACTTCTGGCATCCAGGGTCATGTGTTTTTCTAAGCACACAAAACCAGAGCCTCATCTATGGCTTTTCTTCTCCCAGCTTTCCTACTGGATGTTCCCATCTTCCAAGCTAGGATTGCAGGCCAATGCTCATACTCACCTTCCTCATCCATTCATGCACCTGCAGAAGTTTACTCTCATTTTTCACTTCAGCCACATCCTTTCCCCTTGCACACATCCAAATCCTGAATCTTCACTTCCAGCAAGTACAAAGTGGAACCTCAGTTTCCCGTGTGCATGCTGTCACCCTAATCATGGTCTTCCTACTTCACCATGTCTTGGTCTTCTTCATATATTGTGAACCAGAAGTGCATGTCTGCCTAGGGGCAGCAGAGCTGTTCATTATTGTTGGATGCAGATGGTGGCTGCAGTAGTTCCTGTGTTTACAGAGCCTTTATAGGACTTAGTAGGCGGTAACTCTGCTGCCTGTGTAAGAGCAGTGAGAGCCAGGAGCCATGGCTCAGTTCAGCATTGAGCATATCACAAAGCAGACATGAGTGGTGTGTGAACTATAGTTTGGCCATCTTTCTTATAGAGAAACACGGAAAGTCAGTAGCAGACAAGTGTGGAGAGATAAGAGTAATTCTCATCAGAGAATAAAAAGCACAGGTCTGCTTTTTAAACCAAATAAGCTAAATCAATGCAAAAGTCCGAATAGATGCCTTTATTTCAGTCAGCTTCACATTGGCTGAGCTTTAGTCCATTCCTTAAAAAAAAAAAAGAATCATAAGCCAGCCTTAAATTTAAAGAAATTGTTCCACACAGGATTTTGAAAATTGATGTATAGGCAAGTTAAAGCTAAACTGATATAATTTTCTAGTGCAGTCAAGCCCTGAGCTATGTGCTTGGAAATCAGGAGGGACTTCACTGCACTCCATTAGGTGTACTGTAGGTAAGTGGAATCATAGAATCATAAAATCAACTGGGTTGGAAGGGACCTCCGAGATCATCAAGTCCAACCCTTGATCCACTACCGCTGTGGTTACTAGACCATGGCACTAAGTGCCACATCCAGTCTCATCTTAAAAACCTCCAGGGACGGAGAATCCACCACTTCCCTGGGCAGCCCATTCCAATGCCTGATTACCCTTTCTGTAAAGAATTTCTTCCTAACATCTAACCTAAACCTCCCCTGGCACAGCTTAAGACCATGCCCTCTTGTCTTACTGATAGTTGCCTGGGAGAAGAGACCAACCTCCACCTGGCTACAACCTCCTTTCAGGTAGTTGTAGAGAGTGATGAGGTCTCCCCTGAGCCTCCTCTTCTCCAGGCTAAACAACCCCAGTTCCCTCAGCCTCTCCTCATAGGACTTGTGCTGGAGTCCCTTCACCAGCCTTGTTGCTCTTCTCTGGACCTGCTCCAGCACCTCAATATACTTCCTGAACTGAGGGGCCCAGAACTGGACACAGTACTCCAGGTGTGAGTGACCTCACCAGCACTGAGTACAGGGGAAGAATCACTTCCCTGGACCTGTTGACCACACTGTTCCTGATACAGGCCAGGATGCCATTGGCCTTCTTGGCCACCCGGGCACACTGCTGGCTCATGTTCAGCTTCCTGTCAATCCAAACCCCCAGGTCCCTTTCTGCCTGGCTGCTCTCCAGCCACTCTGTGCCCAGCCTGTAGCGCTGCATGGGGTTGTTGTGGCCAAAGTGCAGGACCCGGCACTTGGCCTTGTTAAACCTCATCCCGTTGGAATCAGCCCAACTCTCCAGTCTGTCCAGGTCCCTCTGCAGAGCCCTCCTGCCTTCCAGCTGATCGACACTCCGACCCCAACTTAGTGTCATCTGCAAATTTGCTGATGGTGGACTCAATCCCCTCATCTAAATCATCAATAAAGATATGAAACAGAACTGGGCCCAACACTGATCCCTGGGGGACACCACTAGTGACCGGCCGCCAACTGGATGCAACACCGTTCACCACCACTCTTATGGAGTTGACATAAGAGGTTAAAGCTTCAGTTGTTTGTTTTTAACTACTTATGGACCTGATTCAATAAGATCAGGTTTGAATGGACCTTTTGAACAAATGGGAACCAATTGCATCAACAGGAACACTAGAATCACGTAATTACATTCTTCACTCTTTTGTGAGAGACTAATCAGCACTAGATTGAAAACACTGGAGTCTGGAGATGCTATTGGAGCCCCATGGAAAAGGAGTTAAGGTAGACAAGATGATGAGACGAAATGATTGGTTAAAAAAAAATATGATTTCATGTTTCTAACACTGAAATGTATACACTAGTGCAAGTATGTGTTTGTTTGTGTGTCACATCTTCAAATATCTGCTTATCTTAAAATCTTTTCACCTTTTATTTGTAAAAATCCAGTTGGTCATTTGGTCACGTTACCAAATATCTTCAGACAGCTTCCCTTCCAAAATCTTCCTATCTGTAGAAAAAGACTATAGAAAGTCTTGTGTTTCTTGACTAAAAACTGGATAATGCACTGTAATTTCACACAATGTTTTCCTTCTGGAGAATAACCTATTATAGTTGTTCTCTGAGCCAATGAGTACTTGTAATATATTTTACAATTTATGATAATATATCTTGCATTTTAGCAAGGAAGCATATTTTAGGTTAGGCACTGTCCATTCTAGCAATTCTCTGAATTTCTTGGTGATCGCACAGAATCAAAATAGCAAACAAAATTAAATAAATCACAATTGGCAGTATTTTCACAGCTTCTTTCATTTGGAGTGTACATTTCAAGGTGTGCTTTGTTTTGTTTGCTACTTAGGTTTCCAATCTTTTAAAATGTGGACTGGAAAAGATGATACTGATAAGAGAATTTTATGAGACGGAGGAGAATCTTGCACGTAACCACTACAGAGTTCAGTCTCATTAATAGTTGTACAATGTGTTTCAAAGATTTCAAAGATTTCTTTTAGATAAGAAAAAATGAATATATGAAGTTGCATGCTTTAATATTTTCTCATTTTAGATTATGGACTTTTATATCTGCACATGAGATTGAGAATCAGCAGACATTGAGATTATTGCCATTGCTTTGTTTCTTTTATGCTAGGTAACAGGGCTAATGGAGCATAGTGAGGCTTTGATAACCTCAGCTCCACTGGGGTGGAACTCTCCTTGTTTTTAAAAAAATGGCAAATAAGATAACAGAGGCTGCCTTTTGAGGGTCTTTTTGTAGGTCTTGTTTTGGATAAGCATATTTCAGGATGTTTCCAAATTCAGAAGTAATGCAGATTTAATTGGACATAAGGATGATTTAAAACTTTCTTTGCCACACTTATTTCTTGAAGCTTTGGAGAAAGAGTATACCCTTGAAAACAAATAACTATATCCTAAATTATCTGAGGTTATACAAGTTGAGCTTATACTATGATAGAAATGTTAAAAGTTGGCCTGTAAGTTATTAGTTATCTGAGTTGCTATTTTCACAAATAACAGACGATACTTAGATTTTTACATGTAGGGAAAACAATAATAGAAAATAACATCAATTTGGCAGCAGTAAGAATTAATTTATATTTTTCATCCAGTTTTCTTGATGCTCTTGTTTTATCAAAGGTTAATAGCAGAAATCGGGAAGTGTTAGAATTGAGATTTGGTGTTGAGGTGAGTTGTTAATTTCAGAAGTTACCCAGTATAGAAGAATTTGATATCTGTGATAAAACATTACATCTGTTAGAAGAAATTCTAGAAAATATGCTATAGTATGTACTTTTGAGCTCTGGAACATCCCTTGTAGCATCTTCTGTGCAGATTACGAGAGATACCTCAAGTTCAAAGGAATTTCAACAAAGTGGTCGTATACAGTGTAATGTTTCCATTGCAATTTAATCCTTGGATCCTCCATAAGATGATATTAATTTAAGATAATAAAATTCATAACACTGTTGTCACACTTTTGTATAGGTGGAGTTACT